CCATCATATGCATACTTTATGCAATTTCTCTTTTGCCAACTAAATGCAATATCATTTTTTCAAATCGAAATCTAAAAAAAAAAAAAAATGATAAGTGGACCAAATAACGAAATGTAACTAATTGAAACTTAAAATAAATGTGGATGAATAGACCAATTTATACTATCATTAATTATATATTACAATTTATATGATACTCATTTCGGTATTTCTATTACTAAGTTTATGAAATTATCACAGCAATATTCACAGAATATCCATGCTATCAGGCCTATTGTGATAGTTTAGAAAGTTCTTTCTAGTTCCAGATAAGCGTCATTGCCGGAAGTTTACCGAATTTTAAAACATCCCAATTTCAAAAACCGTATCATTCTATTCTTACGACGTCCAATTAGTCAAACTATTTTGCTCAAATCATTCATCATATATAATAATATATATATAATAACAAATTTCCATTCATTTTTCAACTTTTACCTTGTCTCATCAATCTTTTCATCACTTACATTTGTCATCAATACATGAAGCTGCTTCATTATATCTAGGAACCATCCTCCATATATAAGTATTTAGTCATTCCTATGTTAAAACAGTTTAATTTAAACCAATTAATATAGTAAACCATTTAATCAAGATTAATTAATACAACAATATTTACAACTGCATAGAACATATAACTGCATATTCATATGCCACAAATATTGTTTGTCCCCTGTCCTCTTGTCCTCTCCTCGTCCCATTATTATCATCTTCCTGTTATATTATTCAAACCCAATCATCAACTGAGAAATCCTTGTTAATGTGAAGGTTATTTCTACACATATGCCACAAATGTAAAATATGTAATATCAAAAATTTGATATTTTACAACAAACTATTTGCTTTCATTCAATCTTTCAACTTTTCTAAGTTTATTTCTAGTAAAATATGTAATATCAAAAATTAAATATTTTTAATCTTTCTCAAAGACAAAAAAAAAAAGAGACGGAAAAAAAAGCGACAGAAATTTACGAACATAAAATTAATCGTCTTTTTTCTTCCTCTTCTCATTTCTCTTTACTAATACATTATCTTCTTTTATTCTTTATTTAGTATGGAATAAATTATTTGAAAACTTTTTCTTTTCTTTTTTTTTGTAAATCCGTTTTTTTTTAATTTTATGAAATTTTTATTTTCGAAACATTAATTTATAGTTGGTTAGTTTATGCAATGTAATATCACTAATTGTATCACTCTGAAATATGTTTCATTTAATCTCTGATCTATCATAATTATTTCATTTCACTTTTTTTTTCTTTCTTTCTTACACAATCATCCCAATTTAATTTATATATCAAATTTGGAATTGCATAATTTCATTTATTATATTTGGTTTCCAGCATTTTCCTCCTTTTTTTTCCCCTGAAAATAGGGTAAAAAATGAAATTGAACAAAAAAAAAAAGAAAAAAAACAATAATTTTGCTTCCTTAATGAAATAGCTAACAATCAAAATTGATAAATAACATATAACACGTAACATGCAACACGTGACACGTAATACGTGATACGTAAACTGTTAGGTACCTTTAGTACTTTTTTTTCCTTTGTTTCAAGAATTAATTGGTAATGCAATAAATTTTCAAAGCAAACAAATAATAATTTTAATAAATTTCTGCATTAATGCAAAAATACAAAATGGAATTTAATTGTTGCATTCATCTTGTTTGTATTTGTTTAATATCTGATATCTTTAATGTTTGATAAGGAAAGAAATGTTACGTCATTTATGGATAAATTTCCTAATTTGTTAAACTGTTTTAATCCTGATAACATCCTTGATTTATTTCTTCTCATTCAAAATTCATCCATTTTATTTCATGATGTTCGAAAATTCTCATATCTCTATCGTTTGCACAATTTTTGTTTTGTTTTAAATGATGAGATAAGGTCAGAGGTTGCAGAACTATCGAAACTACTACTGTCTACATTTATGCTGTGATGTTTATTGGTGATAATGCTATTGGTGTCAGCGGTGATGATGGTGATGGTTGGTACCCATCACAGGCTGGTGCCTATTGGTTTGGCCTTCTTTTCCTCCACCTCCTCCTCCACCTCCTCCTCTTCCTCCCCATTCATTTCCTCCTGCTCTTACTTTCGCTTCATCTTTTCGAGATTATTTCCTCGCGACCTCACTGATGAATCGGTTATTGTGCAGGAAATCATCATTACATATTAGATAGAAACACAACACATACACACACACACACACACACACACACACACACACACATACATACACATACACATATATATATATACATAGAACCATCCGCATATTGTGGGTGACATTTGGTGACAACAGTTCAACAGAGTTCATTCTGGTGTATATCGTCACCCCCAACTTGCTGAAGAACCGCCTACCTCCCCCTTATCCAGCCACCCGTCCCAACCTGTTGAAGCCGGTTGAATCGAGTCGTCCTCCAACTGCACCATCCTATTCTTACCTATAACCTGATGGTCAAATCTTCCCTTCCTTCACCTGAAATGTTCCTTCTTCTACAATTGTATTACCCTTTTCCTCCATCCCCCTTCCTAATATAGACATTATTTCACCCCAACTTCTAAATTTCTCGAATCTTCCATCCCTCTTTCCCCGCTACTTTGGATTTTCGCTAATTCTGCTTTAATTGGGTGTTATTGTTTTTGTTGCTTTTTTTTTTCTAGCTTTCATAACAATCTGCAGTCTTCATTCATCCAGAATCCCTGCTAGGTATATCAACTTTTTCCTCTGAGAGTTCCTAATGCAGAAGGTTTGCCTCGTACAGAGAAACGGGGAAAGATTATGCATCTACGATTGATAAGATTATATCTTCTTATCACAATGAACTTACATGAAACGATACCTTTCCACCTTTTTTTTACTCTTTTCTTTTTCTTTCATTTAAAAATGACCGCAATCATAAAATTTTTTTTCCTGCCATAGAATTCATTTTTTTGAATATCTAAAAAAACTTTCAGAATATTTGACAAATTTTAATTTTAAGGCTTTTTTCCCTCTTTTTTTCACTCACTTTTCCCTCCCTTTCTCTCCTTCTCTCTCCCTCTCTCTCTTTCTCTTTCTCGGTGTACCTTGATGTTTAAAGTTTACAAATGAGTAAATGTAAAAATTTCGTCCTTTTAAATTTTTGTTGAAACCTTTTTTCCATCCATTTTTTGAAGAAAATTTCTCTTTCTTTCTTTTTTTTCTTGTTTAATTTTCCAAATATTTGAATTCGTTTTAAATGCTATGTTTTTCAAAGTTTTCTTTTGTGCGACATTTTTTAAAATTTTTCAAATGAAAATTTGAATTTCTCTTTTGAGCAAACATTCCTAAGTTATATCCAAAAACTCGAAAAATGAAACATATCATTTAATAAATCATTAGGAAACAATTATGGTGATGATTTGATGTTCCGGAAAAAACTGTAACCAAAATTTTCCGGTAATAAATTAGCAGAGTGAAAATAATGAACATTTTTTTTTCTTTTTTTAAAATGTTACCATTGATAAGCCTGTTTAGAAAAAGTTCAACAAGTTTAAACAGTTGAAAACTTTTCTGAATACGAGTAAAACAATGATTAATTTTATAGCATGAAAATATTTTATAAATTTTAAGAACTTAATTAACATATTATGCTTGTTTAATTAACATAAGTTATTCTTTATTAACATAATATGTAAATTGATGAAAATGCATTGAAATATTATGTAAATTGTGATTATAAGATTGCTAATTAAATAAATTATAAATTATGTAAATTAAACTAAGCTTAATATATCTTCTGTATAGTTATATAACTTATCTGTTAACCTATCCCCCCCACTTATTTTCTATATTTAATCATCCATGCCAAAAATGATCGGTACAAGTTTGCGGAAATTGTTTGAATTTGTTGTGCAAATAATATATTCATTAGATTCATTCTGTATACACAACGGAACTCGGGAGGAAGGGATAGGCGGTACCGATCTAACCAGGAGAGGTCAACTCCGCCGACTGGCACCGCTTCGGGGAGGAAGTCCATCATCATCATCATCATCATCACTTGATGTACCATTTGCTGTTATTCCTGTTCTTTGTTTTTTTTTTTTTTCTTGAATCATACTTCTTCTGATAAAAATAACAAACTTTACTCATTTTTTGTTTCTAGTTTTTTTTTTTTTGTTTTTAAAATTTTTGTTTGACCTGTTAAATGAAATAAATACCTTTCTATCTGATTCCTGATCTCTTATCAAGGAACAGTTATTTTTCTTTCTAATTTCCTCTTCTTTTCATTCCATAAATACATTTTATATATTAAATATCATTCCATTAATTTATACATAGATATTATTGTAATGAAACATTGAAAGATTGAATCAATTAACATTCCTTTCATTGCATATTAATTTCTTATCAATTATTTCATTCCAGTTAACAAACTATGATATGTTTATCAGATAATTATTCATCATTCATACGAAATGTATGAATGATAAATAATGTCATCATCTAAATGAGAAGCAGAGCAATATGGGACGAATTATTCAATCATCCATCAAAGCTGATCTTATCATTTCCATTTTGTTACAGAGCATTTGTTTACAATTGATAATAAATTTGAAAATTGGAATTTTGTTTGTATGTAAAGAAAGAATAACGATAAAAGAAAAAAAATAAAATAAAAAAATGATTATATTGTATTGCTATCTTATCATTAAAATATTCTTTTTTTCTTCATCATCCATAATATAGTTATAACTTTTCCTTACTTATTCCTTCTCAGTCTTGGTATTAATTTTTCAATTTATCAATTCTTTTAGGATTATCAATTATGCCAAAAAGTTATACACAATTATCAGTCATACATTGATAATTTGATAAGTTTTCCTATCATAATTTAATATTTTCAAATTAATTACCTTATAACATCAAATATTACATTTTAATTCATTTCCCCAATCATTTAACATCTCACCTTGTTAACTATAACTGTTAAAAGTATATCTTGTTGCAATATGACATATGATAATATTGATAGTTAACTTTTAAACAAATTCCAATTAATATATCGGTTAATAAATGTATCAGTAATTCTAAACTATCGAATTACTAAGAAAAATATGCAAAAATTACTGAGATAAATTTGTCAAAAGTTATTCAAATAAAATTATTATGCAAATATAAGCACATAGTGAAAATCTTTCTTTTAAATTTTTTGTTGATATAACTATACACATTATCACTGCTCTTATCAATTATAATCATCCTAATAGTACTAGTATTAGTGTGCTGTAATCACTATCATCATTGTCACAAATTATCACCTTTTGCTGTTCATGGGAAGTTTGAGTTATTGGTAAATGTCACAAGGCTGTTTCAAATTAACAAACCAGTTTCATCCATCCTTTTTTTTCCCTTTCTTTTTCTCCTTTAATTAAATTCAAATTAGAACCAAAAAGGAAAAAAAAATTAAACTATTGGATGCTTTGTGGGAAAGAAAATAAAATAAAAAGATTATAAGGAATACAATTTATAAAATCATTGATTAAAAAGGAAAAAAACAATTTTAATGAAAAAAGTGATCCTTCTCGTCTGTTTCTCTCTACCTCTCTCTCCCTCTCTCCCACTTACTCTCCATTTCTCTCCTTTTCTCTTCTTTTTAAAATAATTTAAAATGTGAGATTTTGAAGAATGAAAAGCAAGAGAAAGCGAATAACTTAAATAAGCTTTCATTGGTTTTTGACTAAAAAAAAGATCCAACAAAAAATCTTTTCTCTCTCAATTGGCTTATTTATCATATGATAATACCTTATCTCTAGGGTTGTTTTCATAAAAATATTTTTTAATAACCAAAAGAAAAGAAAACTAATTGGTTTGTTTCAATACAAACATTTTAAAGCATTATTTTAATAATTGATAAGATTGATTTGATAATTAATTGATTGATGCTATTGATTAGAATTTCATTAAAATTTTGAAAATATTATAATCAAATTCCCATTTAATTTCATGTTTCATCACGATAATAAATGCATGATTTAGCATGAATGTAAGGAAGCTGGTGGAAACTTTTAAAAACGTTTAAATTTCAATTTTTTCGTAGTTTTTTGGATTTATTTTGCTTCAGATATTTGCCCATCTTATGATCAAAATATGATATCATCTTATCAATGCGCGGGAACTTGCAGTGTTATTTTTCGGATAATTCATTTCACACATATCATCACTTCTTTGAAATGATTGTTTGAAGTGCAAAAATATAAATATAAATAAATAAATG